CTGCTCCGGATTCTGTTTTTTCTTCTTCTTCTTTCCAAATCCATCTCGCCCGTTTATTTCTGAAGTCTTTGCGTGATCGGTCGCACGTGCCTTTTCATTCGACTCAAAAGTCACGTCACGTGGGTGTGTCATGTACCATCTAGGCGGAATCCGAAGATATCTTGTAAATTTAGAGGACGGGTAACAGGTTTTATTTAACTCATCTCTCGGCGTCTGTCCTCCCTGTTCTCGATCCATGTCGCGCCGTTGCGCGTCCAGGCGGACACGGAGGAGGTGCAGCCGAAGAAGCGCACGTTCAAGAAGTTCACCTTCCGAGGCATCGACCTCGATGCGTTGCTCGACATGGGCAACGAGGAGCTCGTCAACCTCTTCACCGCGCGCGCTCGCAGACGGTATGGTTCGCGAGTGCTGGTAACCGTATTCGCTCGCAAGCTCGTATGAAGCTAGAGCCTGTGTTGTCGGCGGCGATTTCGGTGCTAAGCTGGAGTTTTAGACACGGAGCTTGCACTCGGCTATTTCGACGATACTTGGAGCATGATACTGGCTCCAGACAGTAGACTCGAGCTCTCGTATTCGAACATCTGTTAGGCTAGGTTGATCGTTATGGTGGACAGTTCGCTAACTAGAGTGGCGCGAGGCGGTTTCGACCTGGATTTGAGAAAACGGAGGGAGCGAGGAAGGGGAGTCGGGTTAGGAGAACGCAGTGGGCAGGAGTGCGTTTTGCTGGCTCAGCGCAAGAGTGTGGTTTCTGAACCAGGTGCAGGAGCGCGTAGCGGAGCGGATATTGGCACATGTGTCCCGTAGCAGGAACAGAAATAGCGACCGACGGTGGGCTAAGGCCAGCGAAGCTGGGCGAAGGCGGGCGAATGCGAGCGTTGGTGTACGTGTAGAGCGAAGATCCGCCAGGCAGGCACATCTGCAAGCAGGGCGAGGAGGATGAGAGGATTAGGGGAGATGGGGGAATAAGGGGACTTCAATGGCCAGAAGCGGAACGGTAATGAGGTCGCGTGGTCCGCAGGTTTGAATTCCAGACATAGTAGGAAAGGGGAGGCAACCTAGCCTTCTGTGCTTTTGGGAATTGCAGTGGGTTTTTTGGTCGCGATGCGCTCATGTCAAGTTTTCTGTTTTTCATCCACGATTCTGTTCTTCAGCATCCACCCGCCCCCTAACCCGCCCCACCCCCGTCAGCCCGTTATTCCTTCCCCTCCCAAGGGTTTCCCATTCCTCATGTCGATTTTGCCATTTTCCTTCTTTGATTCTCCCACCCTTGCCCCTCATCCTCCCTCCCTTCTCCCCCCACTTTCCCCCTCCTTCCCCACTTCCCTCCATTCCCCTCCTTCCACGTTGCCCCCCCTCGTCCCCACCCCCCCCCGCTCCCGGCCCCCCGTCCGCCCGTTCTCCCCCGGTGCAGGTTCCGCCGCGGTCTCAAGAGGAAGCCGCTCGCCCTCATGAAGAAGCTTCGCAAGGCGGTGGGTGCTCTCGAGTGGGCTGGGTAAAGGTGTTAAGGTTAGCAACCACTTCTGTGTTTATTCGAAAGTTTTATGCCGCGGTCTGAAGAGGAAGCCGCTCGCCGTCATGAAGAAGCTTCGCAAGGCGGTGGGTGCTCTCGATGGGCTGGGAGGGAGGAGTAGCAGTGGCTTGCGGCTGGACACGGGGGGAAGGAGGACCCGGGGGAAAGGGCAGTGGCGGGAGGTGGGGTTATGGATGGGAAGTGGATGGAGTGGAGTTGTGGGAGGTGGGGAGTGTTTGAAATGGAGTGGTGTGGGGTGATGGGAAGTGGGGAGTGGTGGGAGGGCCACGAGGGATGGTAATTGGAAAACTGGGGCGCGCATGACAGGGAACGGCTTTGTGGTTGGAGAAGGAGGTCAGCTTAGCAAGAAAGCTTGAAGCAGTGCTTATGTGCACAATACCTATCAGAACGCACTCTGTTTCCACATAGCCATTGGCTTCTTCAACCACTCTTACGCACTTTTCCCTCTTTCTCCCTCCTTCCTTCCCTTCTCCACATCCTTCCCCCATTCCATTTCGTGCCTGGACACGAGAAGAAGCGCGATGCGGAGGAGGGTGAGAAGCCCGAGGCGGTGCGCACGCACCTGCGCGACATGATCATCGTGCCCGAGATGATCGGCAGCGTCATCGGCGTGTACAACGGCCGCGTCTTCAACCAGATTGAAATCAAGGTGCATGCGCTGGGAAAAGGGGAATGCGAGGTGACGGGTGGGGGATGGGAGGTCTGGTGTTGAGGTCAAGAGAGGGTGGATCTTTCATTGCCCCAAGGACCTTTTGCCGCATGCCGCATGTCCCTTATGCAGTCGTCTCCGTAAGATTGTTTCACATGTCCTGTTTTTTATCCCTTTTTTTTAGCTCATGATGTTTCTACTTTCCCAAAACAAGCCGAGTTTCCTATTTGTCTTCCTGCATCTTGCTTGACACTGTTTTGCGCAGCCCGAGATGATTGGTCACTATCTGGCGGAGTTCTCCCTGAGCTACAAGCCCGTGAAGCACGGTCGGCCCGGTATTGGTGCCACTCACTCCTCCCGCTTCATTCCCCTCAAGTAAAGGCTCCACATATCCATGGGGAGGCGTGCTGCTATGTGTACTACTTCCGCCTCTTCAGCTGTCTCTATTGCTGCCACCATGGCTTTGGTAGCTTGTTGCCTGGAGCTGCTGCTGAGCTCTATGCGTGTATAATTGTGAGATGTGGAGCAAGGCAGTTGTAGCACGAATGGAAAAATGTTTGCCTTCACCTTGATTGAAGTGGAGATCTTGTAAGGAGTTATAGAGCTGATCAAGTAAGAAGCTTGAGATGCACTGTGGAATGTACTTCATTTTCAATTCTCAAACATCTCTAACACTGCATCCCTACAACCTTCCTTGATGGCAAGTTCACACTCAAACCGCTTCAATGCTGGAGTCCAGCTTGAGTGCAAGCATCAGGCCTGACAGCCAAACCACACACCGCCTGGCCCCCCCACCCAGCCCGTACATATCCTGATGATGTGCGGACCCAACTGTGTGGCTCGCGTGCGCAACATTCCCAGCCGCCTTAGCCACACTTTTGCTACCCTCGGGGTCAGGGCGCAGGGTCGTTCTGGATAGGTTGGAAAAGTTTCCCTTGCGTAAGAGTTTACCTTTTCGGGCAGCATTACGACGCGAAGGTGCATGTGAGACACGGGGTGGGACCAGGCTGACAATTTTACTACGTACACGTAGTTCTTGCGAGCGTTTACCACCGGGCTGAGAAATGCGGGTTCACAATAACTATGTGACACGCCCTCAGATAGTGCAAGCACTTGGCCCGACCGACACCAACCAACCATCATTAGGAAAAATTCACCAAAAAACAAAAAAAAGCCAACCATCATTTGGAAAACTTGCAGGGATTAGGGAGAACCCACGATGTGGTGGGGAGAACGCGCAGGTTTGGGCTCTCTCACCCTCAAGTTCTTCCCCACACCACACCCCAGTTCAGCAGCATGATTCTCGGGTTCATCGGGAATGGAAAACTGGATGATATTCGGGATGCGCTGCCTGCCTGTGACTCGGCAAAATTTCGCGACGCGGCCGATCACGCGCCTGCCTTAATCCTGTCGACCGAGCTCGCACCGCAAGTATGGCGACCAAACTCCCTCTAATTGAATCGATTTACAAACACGTCTACGTTATCTTCGTGCTGCTTTGTTTGTCATGTTGGCGTTACAGGTGCCATTTGGTTTTACGGTCAGAACAGCGAGATTCCAGCCTGGGGTTTCGATTCTTTCATCAAGGACAAATTTGCGACGTGTTGCGGTGCTACAGTCCAGTCGCGCCGACGAGGTTTGTCTTGTGCGGAATTGTTTGGTCATATTGTTTATACGGTGTAAAACAAACAAAAACCCCTAGGGAGCCAGGCACCGCTCTCACCGCATCAACCCTAAACACTTGCCAGTTCCCGTGTTTAGGGTTGATGCCTCCCGAATTGCGTCCCAGTATTTAGGGGTTAATTTTTTGTCAGCCCCTGCTTAGATTCACTGCTCCGTAAATGTTTCAGAATAATCGCGATGGACACGTGGCGAAAAATGCCCGTAGAAATGAAACGTGATGCACGCGCCAAACATTTTTGCGTCACACCAAACAGACAAAGCTACCGAAACCTGTAATGCAACGACAATGTAGCTACAATTGCCACCTTGTTTTTACGAAACCACGAAAACCACCTGGCACGGTACAGTATAAACAATTAAAAACATTACCCTACATGAAACAGTGGTACCTAGGGGGGCCACCAATTCTCACACATTCAAATTGGCCCTCTAAATCGCAAAAGAGTATGTAGATCGATTCATTTGCGAGGGGTTCAATCGCCCTACCTGCGGTGCGAGCTTGGTCGACAGGATTGAGACAAGTGTGCAATTGGCCGTGTCGCGCAATTTTGCCCTTTGCTTCAAACTGTACGCAGCTTATTTCCATCCACATTCCTCCGATTCAGTAGAGACAGCTTGAAGATTCTCCACAGGCCTACTTTCCTTCCATTCTCCCGCCTCCTCACGTTCATCGTTTTGCAAAACCTTCTGTTGCTGGCCATGGCTCCTTTTTTCTATTCGAGAAATCGTGTGGTTCGATTCGCAGAGAAGAAACATTATCAGCGTGCGATTCCTGAAATAGTCAGGTCAACCAACCTAGTGGTGGGTCATAGTAGTATAGAGCCTTCTAGAACGTGGCAGTCAGATGAGCCTCTGAGAGTCTCCTTCGACCTCCAGGACTCAAACTCGGGTATCAGGAACTCAAGCGAGTGAACGTTGTGGTTTATTGGAACAGTGTCGAGTTCTTTCTCTTTTTCGAAATACGGGTCTCTTTTCTCTAAAATGCGTATACATTCCTCAATTCGCCAAAATACGAGTCTTTTATGCAGCGCATATGCCATCGCTCGCGACGCTAGCAGCTAGCGACATCGCTTCCAGGTGCTCTGTCTACTGCTCCCGGCGGTCGTCGTCAGTTTGTGATTCGCATAGAAATTCGCTATGCTGTCGCTCGCAACGCTAACACCTGGCGACGATGCTCCCGGTCCCCTCTCCCCTGCTCCCGGCGGTCGTCGTCGCCTCAAGCTCGACAAAGCCGGCCGGCCCGCCGTGCCTTGCGCCGCCGCCTCTACCGCCGTCGTTCCGGGTCTCCGCGCAAGCGACCTCGAGAGTTCCGCCGCGGATGCGCTGCTAGATGCGGACCCTGACGAGCCCGGTGCCGGCGCAAACGCTTCCGCCTACGCGGACGATGACGTCAGCATCGACATTCCCGTTGACTTGGACAGACTTTTCCGCAAATGCGCGGAGCAGCAGCAGATGCTGCGGGAGGCGGAAGGGGGAGGAGGAACGGGCGGAAGGGGACTTGGGGGGGACACCGCTTGGCACCTGTCGACCTTGGCGGAAGCGGGGAAGCAGGGGATGACTAAACTATGGGCGGTTCTAGGGACAGGCGGTAAGGCTGCTTTAGGGGCAACAGGAGCCGTATTCCCATCTACTGGGTCTCGTGGGAGTGCTGATTCTAGGGATGATGCTCATGGAAGGACAGAAGAGAATAAGGGAGGCGGCCGGCCGGGCGAGCAGGTCCTGAAGGAAGCTGCTACTGCTACTGCTACTGCGGCTGCTACTAACGAGTATAAGGCAATGCATTTTCGGAGCAAGTCAGTGGCGGAGGGTCGGACAGGGTACATTGGCCTATCAGGATCCGACACGTCACCAGAGGGGAAATGCAGCAGCAGCAGCAGCAGCAGCAGCAGCAGCGGTGCGAAGTCCACAACCACTAACCGAAACACTAACACCGACAACACAGACAATAACGCCGACAGTCACACTAAGAGTCACAATTCCACCAAGGCAGCCGGCCTTTGGAATCGACAATCCCTTTCCTTCCACCAACACCACCAGCGCTCAAAATCCGTCACGGCTGCTCCGTTGGATTTCCGGGTCGGGCTTGACCCAACGGTCGAGATCGCGTTGCCGAGCCACAGTGGCAGGAGAATCAGCATGACGGTCAAAGGCAGGAAAAGCAGCAGCAGCAGGGTTGAATCAACACAAGGGATGGTGCTGGGAAGCCTTTTCTCTGCATCGTCAACAGCAGCACCAGCAGGAGCGGGAGGAGCAGCAGCGGCTGCAGCTTTGGATGAGTCTGTTTTGTCTGTACTCAGGTTTGAGCCCAACGCCGCTGCTGCCAGGATGCGAGTCGAAACTGCTAAGGGTGTGTCCCTCTTACTAGATGCTTCCACTGGGCAGATTCTAGCTGCTAGCGAAGCAGCTAATAGGGAGGCTGGAGGGGCTGCACCAAGTGCAAGGGAGGACAGGGAAGGCGGGATGGGGCGAGAGGGACAGACGCAGCAGCAGCAGCAATTGCTTGTAGGACGATCAGTGTTTGAGTTGACTAACGGCAAGATGACTATAGCGAACTGGAAGGCGGCAGTGGCGGCTCTGCCCCCTGATAGAGTCGCAGAGAGCGTCATTCTCAGGTTCCGGTTCGCCCCTGTGGGTGGAACCTCCCCTAGTAGCAGCCGCCGCTGCAGCAGCAGCAGCAGTAGTAGCAGCAGAAGCAGCAGCAGTTGGAGTGATGATGGCGCTGGTGGTGGGGAAGGCGCAGGAGGTGCAGGTGGGTCTGGAGGGGCGCTGTGCGGTCGAATTGTGGACCTGAGGTTGAGACGCACTGCTGTGCAGCAGGACGAGCTGCCGCTGCTGGTGGGAAGCATTTGCGCGTTGAGGAGAGAAAGAGGGGGAGGAAGGAGAGAGGGGGAAGTAGGAGAGAGAGAGAGGGCAGGGGAAGAGGGGACGAGAAGGCCGGTTGATGAGGATTGTGAGGAGAGAGCAGAGAGGAAAGGTATGGGTATGAGGGAAGGGAGGGAAGGAAGGTGTGAGAGAGGGACGGAGGAGAGAGAGATGAAGGATGGGAAGCGTGGGGTACTGGATAGGAGAGAGCAGCGGATGGTTTCAGAAGATGAAGGGAGTTGTGGTGCGAGGCAGCAAAGGCGAGGGGGCGGCGGTGGTAATAGCAGGAGTGACTATAATGAGAGCAACTGTAATGAGGATGGTTGTAGCGAAGAGGATGGTGAGGAGAGTCGGATAAGCGAGGAGGGGAGTGTGGGTAACCGGCGGAGCCTGAAGGCGGATGGACGGCGAGATTTGTCCTCTAGCAAGGGGGTGAGAGGCTCAGGTGATGGTGGGGTTGCGAGTGGGGTGAGGGAGAGGGGGAGGTGGAGTGAGGAGAGGAAGGGAGAGGTATGGAGTGAGAAGGAGGAGGTGAGGAGGAGGGGGAGGGAACGAAGCTATAGTATTGGGAGTTTGGCCGAGCTCGCAGGGGAGAAGCAGCAAAAGCAGGAGAAGCAGCAGAGGCAGCTGAAGCAGGGAAGGCAGGACGAACAGGAAAGGCAACGGAAGCAGGAAACAAAGAATTCAGAACTTTGTGGGTCAGAGCTTGGCGATATGGGGGGAGAAGCATATATTGGTGCGACTTTTGAGAATTCTCAAAAGTCGCACCGAAAGAATTCAGAGCTTTGTGGGTCAGAGTTTGGCGATATGGGGGGAGAAGCAGTGGGGACAGGTGGAGCGAGAGGGAGAAGAGGGGACGGTAGAGGGAGGAATAAGGGGGGAGGGGAAGGGAGGATATTAGAGGGGAGGGTATCGAAACGGAGAGATTCAGAAGGGAGGAATAGGAAGATGCAGACAGATGATGGGGAGGAGGAGAAGGGAGGGCAGAAGATGGGGATGCGACTGAAAATGGCACAGGGAGAGGAGGAACAAAGGGCGGAGATGTCTGATGGGAGGCAGGAGAGGAGGGAGGAGAGGGAGGAATGGGAGGAGAGAGAGGAATGGGAGGAGAGAGAGGCATGGGAGGAGAGGCAGGAGGGAAGGGAGAGGAAGGTGAGGGGAGCGGAGGATATAAGGAGGGCCAAGGAGCAAGGCGATGGGCGGTCGAGTGTGCCGCCCTTTCTGCGTAACCTGCGGTCCAAGAGCCTTGTTGACTTGCCGCGGTGGCGGCGCAGGGTGGTGGGAGGTG